GTAAACACACACTTCTTTGTTACCTAAGATGTCAGCAATTACAACATATTTTTGAATAAATCTTTTGTTAATAAAAAGCCCTACACTTACGTCACGTTTTAGACTATATATTTTCACGCCATTAAACTTAGGGGGTAAATATTTTGAATATCCCTAATGTGGGAAAGAGACCATAAATGGCTGCCAACATCAAGGAAGCAAGATTGCCATGTTTTTCATGTCATGTCATTTTGACATTTGCTATTGATAATTTGACAAATATAAACAATAAAATAAAATTTTCATAATTTCATGAGGATGAAGCCGCACAGGAACAGCTGGTTAATATAAAGAGGAAAGAATTGTATTTTTGTATGTATTGAAATAACTCAAAAACTATTTGGCCGATTTAAAAAAAAATCACTATTAAAAAGTTACGTTATTAGTGAGTAACATAGGCTATGGTTTTTTATTATTTTTTAATTTTATGTATACGAAGTCGCGAGCAACAGCTTGTATGCAATACACATTACAATAAATTAGATAAAATTGCTTGTATACTTTACTTGCTGTTGCTCGCGACTTCGTCTGCGTTATAATAAAAAAATGTGGCCTATGTTACTCACTTATAACATAGCTTTTTATTGGTGAAAGAATTTGTGAAATTGTCCCAGTAGTTTTTGAGTTATTTCAATATATACAAAAATACAAATAATATTAAACAAGTAGAAACTTTATACATATATTGATAGAAATAAAGAAAATACTAAAATTGTTTGTATTTATTCTTGTTTCTGTCAAAATGTGGTATATTGAGAAATGTAATTATTTAGATGTGGTGGCTCCTGGCTGGTGACGCGAGCGCGCAGGGCTTCGGCCCGCAGAGTGCGGAGCGCCCGCGCGGGGACTGCGCCCGCGCTGCTCGCCGGAGTCTCCGCTAGAGTTAAATGGCTACCATACACACCGGTAAGAAACTAGTATTCAAAAACAGATTTTACTATAGAAAAATGTCTTTTTAATATGTTATTTTGTTTATAAATAGCTAAATGGTCGCGGAAATCTGAAAACTTTGTTTCATTGTAATGAATAGGCTCAAAAGACTGGACCGTTTTTAAAAATTCCTTCATTATTTGAAAGCTACATTATCCACAAGGAACATAGGCTATATTTTTTAACAATTTCACGCGGAATTCGCGGGCAACAGCTAGTACTATATAAATGTGATAGCTGTTGCTCGTGACTTTATCAGCGTGGAAATAAAAAAGAATAAAACATAGCCTATACTCACAGATAAATTACCTTTGTAATGGTGAAAGAATTATTGGATTCGGCAAAGTAGTTATTGCATGAATCGAATACATACAACAAACAGTTTTACAAGTGGTAGAGCCCACGACCACACAGAAAACAGACGTGAAGTGGAAGCAATTCCGCTTAGAGTCTGATGAGTATGGTGCTGGAGGTCTAATTTCAGTCCCTTTCCACTCTTTTATTAAGAGGAAAGGATGGGAAGGAAAAGGAGAGAGGAAGGGGAAATGTCCTCTTTATGTGCGTCTCCGTCAATGAAGGGTAGGCAACACTGTAATTGCGAATGTTTATAGGCAGTGGTCACTTTCCATTTTAGTGGTTGCAGGTGTGCGTTTGCCTGATTAAATTATAAAAAAAAATACAAATCTTTCCACTTTACAATAGTACAGACTAGTTGATGATCGCGACTTCGCCCGTCTGAAATAAAACAAAAAATAACCTTCTTTTGGGAAGTCGGTCAAAAATTAAAAGATAACCTATGATAGATAATTTTCTAACGGTGAAATAGTTTTTGAAATCGATTCAGTAGTTTTTAAGTTATTTCAATGTACAAAAATACAAATCTTTCCTTTTTATAATATTAGTATGGACCTATTATGTTTTTATGATCAAAAATGTGCTCAAAATGTTTCTTTTGGCATTTACTGCACTAGACAGTAAAGTTAAAACCTACTAATGGTATAATTTTATTTCAGGAAACAGAGGAAACAACCCCTAAACTGAGCCCTTCGGTGCAGCAACAAATAAAAGAGACATTACAGCGAGGGTTGAACTGCATGAGCTCTTCGGAGAGAACCGTACCTGAAGGTAACTCAATACATACATACTAATATTATAAATGTGTAGGCTTACATGGGCATAGCATGGCAAACACCGAGCACTGGTATGGCGGCCATATTGTCATTCCAGTCAGTT